AGGAAACACAATATCCAGCCCGGCTCTATGGGAATGCCCAGTCATATCTCTACAGCATCCCTGACCAAATTCAAACACAGCCTAGAAAATCTTCAGCTTATTTTATGTTGAAAATTTCTTGTTCAATAATTGCTTGTGGCCTATTAATCCCAGTTTAACTGATACTTCTTTAATCGCCTGTGAGAGTATGCAAAGCTGCCATTTCTTAGCTGTGAACTGTGACATATGAAAGGCTCTAAAATTCTAAAGTGCTGTAAGGCTGGCAGGTACCCCTTTCACCACCGTGGCTCATTGGATTACTCTGCTATAATTTGTTTGTCAAGTACTGATATGGCTTTCTGCAAGGCAACACCTTCACAACAGCTGCTGTAAAAAGAGCTTGTGCCGTCTAAAGGATTGCTTCTAGCATGGCTGAAAACACCTTAAAAACTATATAATGGAATGAAGCAAACACCACCCTGACGCTCAAGAAAATGTCAATACTATTATCTTCCAAAAAAAGTAGCATTTGTTATGGCTGTTATGTGGCACCATGGTGTACAGTTTATGTGGTCATGATACTCTGGCCATCATCTTGACTTTTAAAAATCATTTGCACTGTTAGGCACAACAGCTGCAGTGACATTCTTGAAGCACAGAGAGGCCCTGGGTCTGGTCTTAAATCTCTGTAAACAGCTGGGCCCTGAGACAAAAAAAAAACACACAGTGTATTTCTTAAAACAGGTTTATTTTTTGTCTAATTAGAGTAAAGGAACTAGAAGCTATGTAATGACAGTACACCTATCTGTCCACTGTTGTGATGTGTTAACTGTTAGGCGTGTTAAAGAAGTGAATTCAACATTGATTAGATACATATTTTAACTTTTAATCCCGTTCTATGTATATGCACTATGACCATTTTACTCCCTGCATTACATATGGTATTACAAGCTGTACCAACCATATCAATCTGCTTTACACAAAGGCTTTTTATTAAACCAACAAGGCACGCTGTTAACACAGCTTCAAGAGCCAATAAGAAAAGAGAGAACACAAATGTCACCACTCATCTCTGGACAAACAGGCAACAAGTCGCCTGGTTCTCTTCAGACCGAGTGGACAGACAAGAAGATCTGAGACATAAAATATACCAAAATGACAAGTGACAAACAAGTGATGGACAAAGAAGCTGAAAGTGCTGAACAGAAAGAGAGCACTGAAAGACCTAAATGGGACAATAAGGTTCAATATTTGCTAACCTGCATAGGCTTTGCTGTTGGACTTGGTAATGTGTGGAGATTTCCATATTTGTGTCAAATCTATGGTGGAGGTAAGAGCACTTAATGGACGGCGTGTTTTCTTATTTTATTGCAAAAAGCTAAGTTGGGCAGTCTGGCAGCAGTGTGGTTACTATTTGGTTTTCCATGACGACATGTTTCAGACAATAGTCCAGAGGCAACTCTTAAATCCTGGAAGTGCTATTTTTATTTCTGTAACTTATGAAAATAAGAAAGTATTTATTGAAAATGTACACAACATGTGACAAACACTAGTTCTACTGTATCATTGCACAACAACGCAACAACTGAACCTGGTGTTCTTTTTCTTTGTTTGCATTCAGCTTTCTCTTTAGCTTTTATTTAGCCATCACTGTCTCACCCTCTGTGTTATCATGGGTGGCGTGACTGAGACGTTGCAGACGTGATGCAGATTTGACTGTGCCGATACTATAACACCCTCATTTTCATGCTCCTCGACGCTGACATTGCTGCCAAACAGGCTTCCACAAAGTGCTGAATTAAGCAGACATTTCAGTTTGGGAGTTTTAATAAGTTTGCAAAATTTCTAAAAACACATTTTCACTTTATCATTGTGGGCCAATGAGAGAAAACTCTGTGTGGTGCTAAGATCTATTGCTTGGTATGAGTGAGTGTGATAAAGCCCTGGCTGCTGATAACAAAATGTCCAGTAATCAGAAACAGAATGACCTTCAACCATCAAGGTGAAGTTGGCTGCTTGCTGAAAAATCATGCTTATTGTTGACTTTTGGTCATCAACATCAAATATTTTGCTTCATTTAAAGGGGCATTTCTGATTCCTTATCTCATTGCATTGGTGTTGGAGGGACTTCCTCTGCTGCACATGGAACTAGCCATTGGACAACGGCTCCGCATGGGAAGTGTAGGAGTGTGGAACTCAATCTCACCATATCTGGGAGGTTTAGGTGAGAAGATCTGGTATCAGTAAACTTTACCAATGTTTTTGGAATTTTCTCAGAAAAAGCAAGATGCCAAAAAATGTAGTGTACAACATAAAGCTGTCTACAACTGTCTGTATGTATAATTACTCCACTTATCCATACTATCGGGTGTAAATTATGTCAATGCGTCAATACAGGTGTGGCCTCCTTAGTGGTGTCCTTCCTAGTTGGCCTGTTCTACAACATGATCTTGGCTTGGGTCCTCTGGTACTTTTTTCACTCCTTTCAAAGTCCACTTCCCTGGAGGGACTGCCCGTTAAACCTGAACCATACGGGTAATTTTTCCACATCATAATATAACTTATCAATAAATGCTTCTAACAGCTGAAGTAAAAGCAACAAGACATGAATCATCTCTTTGATGCAGGCTATGTGACTGAATGCGAAAAGACCTCATCAGTGAACTATTTCTGGTATCGTGAAACGCTGAACATAACACCAGACATCCAGACCAGTGGCTCCTTACAGTGGTGGCTCGTGCTGTGTCTCGCGTCTGCCTGGTGCCTCGTGTACATCTGCTTCATACGTGGAATTGAGACTATTGGAAAGGTAATTCATTTGTTTGATTTAATGCTAAAAAATTTTGTATCTATTATATTTTCTAGTCCCAGCCATTAATAGAAAATTTTGCTAGCATTATAACACCAGCTTTTCTCGCACAGATGCATTGTAAGACGTATGAATATCAGCTGACAGACAGATAGATCGATAAACCTGCATATTGGCAAGGAACTAGCTGATGCTTTACAAAGACTCACAAAGACTCACCAAAATAAGCTAATGAAATGCATGTGTTTGAGGTGGATTTTAAATATTTTCTCGCTGTCCATACATTTTGAACAGGCTACTTATGTGACAGCCACTTTTCCATATCTTGTCTTGACCATCTTCTTGGTCAGAGCCTTGACTCTGTCTGGAGCAGCTGACGGATTAATATATCTCTTCACTCCAAATGTAAGTTTGTTATTAGTTTCTCGGTTTCATGACAAAACCTAATGAGTAAAATTCAATATCTAACTAAAATGTATATGTTCATCACAGTGGGAAACCCTGAAAAATCCCCAGGTCTGGTTAGATGCTGCCACCCAGATCTTCTTCTCTCTGTCTCTGGCCTTTGGGGGACTTATTGCTTTTTCTAGTTATAATCCCCAGAAGTAAGGAAAATTTGAATTGTTCTTACATTAAGAAAGAAAGACAATATAATCTACAAAATAAAAAGAGAAATATTATTCTGTCTTTGCAGGAACGATTGTGAGAGAGACGCTGTAATTGTTGGATGTGTGAACAGTTTCACATCGATATATGCGTCAATTCCAATTTTTGCCATTCTTGGATTTAAAGCTAACGAAGACTACAATGACTGTCGAAATTGGTATGTACCATTCAGTTAATTATAGTGTGCCACAGTACACTACATCCAGCTCGATAATTAACCAGCCTTATTATTAAATGTGCAACTGATGATTATTTAATTACAAGTTGTCAGTCCCCAACGCAGTGCGACTGTTGTTGACCAACCATGTACACCATGAACAAAGAGGATAAAATAAGTTTTGATATGAAACAGAATAGTTTTTAATTTAAATGATTAATAAATGTCAAAGTAACCACTTTCTATTTCCTTAACCACATATGTAATAGACCATTTCTACAGTAATAATCATCATCATCATGTGATGTTTCTTATTGAAATTTTAAGTGACTGGTTTATTTTCTTATTGATTTTAGGAACATATTAACACTGACAAACGCATTTAACATTGGGGATGAAAACATAACTCTTGAAAACTATGACGACTGGTTTCACTATCTCAATACAACGAATCCCTCAGTGGTTGAAAGCCTCGATCTAAAAACCTGTAATCTACAAACATTTCTGGACCAGGTTTAGTACATCTGTCACTACAAAAATATCTTTGAACAGTTTTCCAAATAAAGTTTTGTGAGATTGTGAATGAGGTACGTATCATGTCCTGCTGTACCCGTAGAGCGCCTCTGGAACTGGACTTGCCTTCATTGTGTTCACTGAGGCGGTGATAAAAATGCCAGGCTCTCAGGTGTGGGCGGTGCTGTTCTTCATCATGCTCTTCAGCCTGGGCCTGTCCTCCATGTTTGGAAACCTAGAGGGGGTCCTGACTCCTCTGCTGGACCTGCACATGGTTCCTCTATGGATTCCTAAGGAGATTTTCACAGGTAAACCAAAAGATCAGGCACAAATTTTTAGCATAACATGACAAAAAATTGACTAGATTCTGTGCATTTTGTAGATATTGTGCAAGCACCCTTTGATACACAAGAATGAGACACCCTTACACATATAAACCCCACCTGTTCATTTACTGTGCACTGTTTTCTTTCCATGTAGCATCAAGTCTTCTTACATTTTAACCATTTGTTTGTATGTGTATGATGTCTATAAGGGTTTCTGTATTAGTCAATTTAGTATAAATCATCATAGAATGAAACTCTGAAACATTCTATATCCCATATTTTCCTTGTTTAGGGTTGATGTGTCTTACCTCCTTTGCTGTAGCCCTCATCTTTACTATGGGCTCTGGAAATTACTGGTTGGAGATTTTCAATAGCTACGTGGGCTCCGTCCCTCTGCTCATCATAGCATTCTTTGAGATCATCAGTGTGGTGTACATCTATGGAATAAATAGGTGATGCTGTAATTTGTCATTACATTTGCAACATGACAATGTACTTTCATTATTTGATGTAGTGTTTCCTTTGGCTGCAGGTTTAATGACGACATTGAATGGATGACAGGGCGGAGACCAAACCTCTACTGGCAGGTCACCTGGCGCTTCATCAGCCCGTTCATGCTTTTTGTGGTTTTTGTGGCCTATGTTGTGATTTCAGCTAAACAGCGACCAACATATAACGCCTGGAACCCAGATTATGTAAGAAAAGAGTTACAGCTCTACAACATCAGTGTGGGATTTGTAACATCTAGCGCCATTTGAACTGACTTTCCACTCTGTCACCCCTCAACAGGTGCACTTCCCCCTTGCTGAAGTTCTGCACTATCCTGAGTGGGTTTTTGCTATCTGTGTGCTCTTATGTACCCTCCCTGTCATCTCCATACCCCTCGTGGCCGGCTACAAATTCTCAGGCTTCCTGAAGAAGTACATCATGAACAGACACAATCAAAACCCTTATGCAAATGAGCTCACTAATGATGTGGAATTGTAAATGAAAATGTTTAGCTGTGGTACATGTGAGTACTGTGTATATTCATTTGCAAAAAAAGCCAAAACGTTTTTACTGATTAATATGTTTTGTGTAGTATAGTAGTGTAAGCTTCTGGTCACAGTAGGTTTAAATGACTTAATGGCACTAATATTACTTGTAACAGCTTCATTTTTAGTATATTGTCTAAATATAAATAGTAGTACATTTAGACAAGTGTATTTATATTAATGAAAGAAAGGAAACACTGCCAGCCAGATCAAATCAATGCAGACCAATATGTCTGAGAAAAATACCACAGGCTGCACCTCAGGTTTGTGTTAATATTTGATTAAAGGAGGACAAGAGCTAATTTCCTGTGTTGATGTTGTGAATGGGAACCAACGGAGAGTCACAGATAAGGTTTCTAAATGCTTTGTGATAAGAAATAACGATTTTCTGTACAGGGTGCATGCATGTGTTCACTGACCATGCACACGTGTACCTGTGTGTACTTTGAGTGATACGACTTACACAGTGGTCCTTTTTGTGGTGTGGGTGGACAGTGATATTGTCTCCCAGACTCACGTGCTTTGGAATATGCTGGCTGCCTTTGTTGCCCCTCTGCCTGTTCTGCTTTTCTGGCACTTTCATACAATGGTGCACTTGAACGCTGTGATGTTACTAAGCCTTTCAAACTACTAAAGTCTGAATTCCAGCTCCCAGGAAAGACTAGCATCCTAATGTAGGATACATGGCACAAGATACATCATCAAGCAACAGCAGCAAGGACTGAGTGTTACATCAGAACGAAGGTGACGACTGACCCTGACCTTTAATTACTGTTAGTTTAACACTGCACTTACAGAGGTACACAAGGTGTGGAGCTAAAGCTACTTTCAGTACTGGCAAATCTAAATAGCCTAACTGACAAATTCTTATTATTTGACATGCTTCTACTATTTACTTCACAATCTGACTCACTGAGCCATGCCAGCATTATTTGTATCTATTCCCATATATTTGAAAAGAATCTGATTTGACTGCTGTGAAGGACATTAGATCTGGCATTCTTCTGCTGGCTAAGAAAAACAAATAGTGTATTTAATTCGTTACTACAGTACGGATGTTGATTTTTGGTGCTGCTGAATTGCTTCCTACCATGCTAATAAGTGAATAACCTGAACTAAAGTGTCTTTCAAAGTACTGAAGCAAGTGAGTGCTGTGATCTACAGTAATGAAATTATACGACCGACAACAAAACACAAGTGAGACAAGTTCAGCAGATTTTTTTTTACCCATGATCTCGCTCTAGGCAATGTCTCAGCGACCAGATGTCTCCCGCTGCGGTGGGGTTGTGGGTGAGTTTGAGTTGGTTGACATCAGGGATGCCAGAGCTAAGAGAGCTCAGAGTGCACCAGGTGAACTAGAATTTAAATCCTACTAGAATTTGTGTCGTGTTCGCAGCAACTACGATTTCTGCTTATTCCATTTTCATGCATTTCCTTGGAAGGTTCGGCTCTTATCTACCTCAAGGGTCCCAAGTTTCTCATCTATGTCAGTGGAGCATTATCAATGTGGGTAAGAATCACTTCCTAGAGAAACAGATTCCTGGACCAATAGATGAGATTGAGAAACTTAAATAACTGCATGGTGATCTACTTACTGTAAACTGTGACAGCATCTTTCAAAGCAAGCATGATGGCCTTCTGTGCTATGTTAAACAGGGTGACCGTATGTGGCACTTCGCTATCTCTGTGTTCCTGATTGAGCTGTACGGCCGTAACCTGCTGCTGACTGCCGTGTTTGGACTGGTAGTGGCCGGATCAGTGCTCCTGCTTGGGGCTTTGATTGGAGATTGGGTTGATCGCAATCCCAGGAATAAAGGTGCACAACTGTTTCACACCCATCTGAACATTTTAGCACATAGTATATCAAACAGAAAAATGCATTACAGAAAATATGTCCTAAATGTGTAAAACAGTTTTTTTGTCCTTTTTTTTTAGTTGCACATGCATCTGTTTTCATTCAGAACATCTCAGTGACAGTATGTAGCATTGTGCTCATGTTGGTGTTCTCATATAAGCAAAGGATTGAAGAGATCTGGGAAGGATGGCTCACGGTGAGTAGACACTACATAATGGACTATTAAGCACAGTCCATAACTTGACAGCATGTTGATCTGCAACCACCATAACTGTTCCACAGAGGAGTTACTGCTGCTGTTGTTCCCTCTGAGCTTTGTCCCTGTTGTCTCTGCTTCTGAGCTTGTGGCTACTCTGTGCCGTCATAGTAACGTGTTGCAAAACTTACACAAGGTGGTTTGTTACACGGTGGTGATCGTCCTGGCAGACGTAGCAAACCTCGCAAGCACGGCGCTGACCATTGCCATTCAGAGGGACTGGATTGTGGTTATCGCAGGCTACAACCGAGGTCATTTAGCCGGTGAGGAGATCCACTCTGTTAATCCATGTTGGTTTGTACTGCAGGTTTGTCAGAGGCTTGCATCACTTGTTGTTCACAATAAATAACTGAATCACAAATAATATCAGGGACTGGTCCATTTCAGCTCTCGCTGAAGGCCTACTAGTGGAAGCTCATTCACCTCTGTGGTTTTTGATCCTAACAAAAGGAATGAATGCAACCATGAGGCGGATAGACCAGGTGACCAACATCCTGGCCCCGCTGGCAGTGGGACAGGTCATGACCTTAGCCTCCAATGTAGCCGGCTGTGGCTTCATCCTGGGCTGGAACCTTGTGTCTCTCATTGTGGAGTTCTTCTTCTTGTCACGGGTGTATCACATCGTCCCTGCTCTTTCAGTCAAACCACCAGGGGTGGAAGTGGATCAGGCGTGTCTGCAGAGTATGGACAGGAGAGGGTCACAAGGTATGGACTGAATATTTTTAATGATTTCTCACATTCCCTGTACTCCTAGATGTTAATGTTAGAATGCTATGAGGTTTACAGAATGATAATGACGAATTGATGGAGAGAAGTGATGGATGAAATTCCTCTTTTCTGTCAGGGGAAGGTAACGTTGCACAACTTCAACCTCTGACAGAAGGCAACTGCAACACAAGCACGCACCTAAAGGAAATCATCGACTTGCCGCAGTGTTTCACGAGGTCTCGCTGGCTGGTGAGCACCTGCAAGGACAGCTGGAGGGCCTACTACCGTCAGCCTGTCTTCCTGGCAGGACTGGGTCTGGCTTTCCTTTACACCACAGTGCTGGGCTTTGACTGCATCACCACTGGCTACGCCTATACTCAGGGCATAAGTGGCTCTCTCCTTAGTGTGCTGATGGGTGTATCAGCTATCACAGGGCTGATGGGCACCGTGATGTTCACCAGACTGAGGAAGATCTATGGCCTGGTTAATACAGGTATCATCTCAAGCTGCCTCCACCTGGGCTGCTTGTTGCTGTGTGTGTGCTCTGCGTTTGCCCCTGGCAGCCCTATAGATCTTAGTTTACTGATGCCCTTCCTTACCTCTAACTCCTCTGAGTTTGGAGAAATGGCAAGCCAAAGGCAAAAGCACACGTATCCTCTGACAGCAGGCAGCAATCAGCCACTGTTACCCGACCGCTCATCTATTCACTGGACCAACAACACTGTGCTTTTTGACAACATGCCCTCAAGCACAGCACCAGAATCTTACATCTCCATTATCCTGCTGTTCTTAGGCGTCATCACAGCACGAATTGGTGAGTATGCAGACATTCAAAGCTGGCTGGTTTCAATAAACAACCAAACTTAAATGAGTCCATATCAGTCAAAAGCTCCACTTCACTTCAATGGGAAAGTGTGTCCAAACCTCTGACTGGTATGTACTGTGTTATTATTACATTATATTGATATACAATGCAAATAAATACTGTCCAAAGCACCAGCATAGCAGGTACTGTCAGCTGACATTAACCTATCATAAATATACTGCCATCTAAAGGTTTACAAAGTGTCCGAGTTACATAGTCTAGCCCAGTGGTGCAAAGTAACTACTGTACATCGACACAAGCTACCCAACACTAATTCAAATTATAAGCACAGTTAAAACTAGCTGCCTCTTTACCAGCTGCAACATTAAACTGATGATCACAATAATGCTTCAGTAATAATAATAATCCAACAATTTGATATGTTGGATTAATGTGCAATGTGCCGTTCTGCAAAGTGAGCACTTTTACTATATTACTATATTACTATATAATATAGCATATTTTGATGCTATTTTTGTACTTTTACTCAAGTAGCATTTTGAAGTCAGGACTTTTACTTGTAACAAAGTAATTTTACACTGTCGTATTGCTACTTTTATTTACATAAGGGATCTGAGTACTTCCACCACTGGTCCACCAGACAGCACTGCTGAAAACTGTAAAACATCCTGCGTAGTACATGTACTGGTCACAGTCACAGTATTTATAGATCATTTTTTACAATACAACCTTATATCGATGGTCAACAGTGCAGCTGCAATTTCAATATATTGTATACATTATAGTAAATGAGCCACCAGGATGCCTCAACTGTGGCATTTAGTAATCATACTTTAGGAATCTTTTTAAAAATATCAACCTAAAAAAAACAATCCAGTAGTTCTCAGGCTCAAATCAATTCTATCTTTGTGTGGAGAGCTGCAGAAACACAGAGCTGTTAAGACTAAGGGCTGAGGAAACTATTAAAACCCAGTCTGTGTTCTAGGTCTCTGGTCCTTTGACTTGACTGTGACCCAGCTCCTGCAGGAGAACATCTGTGAGTCAGAGAGAGGCGTGGTCAACGGGGTGCAGAGCTCGATGAATTACCTGATGGATCTGCTTCATTTTATCATGGTGATCTCCGCTCCACAGCCACAGCACTTTGGCATCCTAGTTATCATTTCTGTGTTATTCATCACCATTGGGCACAGTATGTACTTCCTGTACGCACACAGAGCCGAGAAGAAACGCCGCCTCGACACATAAGGAGCAGACGTGGCCCACACAGCCAGGCATGAGGTGCTTACTAGCACTGACTCCACTCTGCACCTGGGAAATGGACGTCTCCCTCCTGTTCCTTCAGCAATCTTATTGCAACACTCCACTCCCGACTTTCATTTCAGCACAACACGAGCAAGTGCCTGTCCCGTCTCAGCTGGTCCATTCCTGCAGGGCCATGTGCCGCAGCAGCAAACAAGGACTCAGGCGAAGTCGAGTGGGAGGCACACACTCCCTTCATGTAACATATGTTGAGGTGGCTACAGTAAATGCAGCAATAGTACCTCCAGGGGAAATGTCCTAATGTAAGGTACAACAGGACACAAAGGTAACAGCTAAGGCACCAGCACATGGCTTTCAACCCTGTTGGATTACTGCAAGACTTTCACCAGCCTAACTTACAATTCATTCTGGGTGGGACAGTGGATGGATGGATGGAGAGATTTTTCAAACCTTCACTAAGTAAAAAACAAAAAAAAAATGATATGAAGAAACATACAAACAAGGTGAGACAGTACTTTCACAAGTGGCATCGATGTTACTGATCCGTCCACTTGGAAATATTCCAGGATGTCCAAGACAGAACATAAAGGGAACCTGGTGTGATATTGTTTGATTAAAAAATATATAAATAATAATCAGGAAGGCTGCCCGCTTTAATGGACAGAGTGAAAAGACAAAGTATTTCTTTTCCCTGGTTTGTTTCTCTGTGGATGAATCAAGCAAACATTTGCCTCTCATGCAAACCTTGCTTATGGATTACAACTAAAACATAATCACACCACCAAAACAAACTAATAATCTAATTGTTTGTGTATTTAGATAAATAAAAATAGCTTCCAAACTTTTTCCTTTCCATTGAATAGGTGATAACAATTAGAAATCCAAGAAGAAAACAATGTTCATTTTGTGACAGGTTTGAAATCTAATGTGTGGAGATCTCATGTTGTTCACTCCTTCTTCCATTATTATCACACACTTGAATAAAACTTCACTATCAGCTACTCTATGTTTTCACACCTCCTTCATGTTCAGTAGAAATAACATAAAAGTTTTAACCTTTTGCCATACAAGCAGCAACATCAATATATTTGTATACGTTTCCTGTGAAATTTCTGTATTGTAGGTTACTGACGGTTATGACAATAAAAATGACTGAAGAGGATCTTTGGCCTCAATTATTTTGAGTACTATAATAACAAATATAAGTCTGTAATATAGCCTAAAATAACATGCTATACATTCGACGCTATGTAAGTGATTAAAATACACTGCAATCAGTCACACCCTGATACTTAAAGTCACCACTTCAACCTTTACAAGTAAATATTACTGTAATACTGGACTCAGGATTTACAAAGTCCTTTCATGCAACTCTCAAGGGGCTTTCAGAGATTTTGTTTACAAGTTCCTTTAACTTTCTATCCAACTATTAGAAAGCAAATGCTAACTGAGATATAGCACAGGTTATCACTCAGACTCAAGTTGTAGCACACACTGCTATCATGGTTGTTGTCAGAAATGCCCATAGTGGAAACAAGAAACTGCAAAAAGAGGTCAAATTCAAGGAGATAATATGAAACATTTACACATTTCACTGTACATAAACATATTAGAGAGGAACATGCATGACAAGATGGCGCCATGGATTGCTGCCTTGATCACACACTCTCTCATTTGGGTCGGTCCTCTGCGACCCATCCCTAATAACCTTTATCAGAGAAGAACTCCTAAACATCAGACAACTCACTCCGAACACCTTTTCCCCATTTTTTGGTAATTCAAAAAACTGTGTGGACATTCTGGTGAGAGGGGCAGCAGCCCTCTATGGGACCTGGAGAAAACACAGGTGAAGGAAGCGAGCAGGGGCCCCGGTTAAGTTATGACAGAGAGGGACCCGGGCGCAGCTCTCATCTATCCATCTAGTGAATCTCCACTCTCTCGCCAACAAAATGGCACATTCTTTTTCTCTTCTTGTTCTCCCGGTCTTATTTTGCTTATATGTTACCTTATGGAAGAACACTGTACATCCACATTGAGAGTCAAATTCCTCCTGTGTTCAGCACACCCAACCAATAAAGCCGATTCTTCTAGCCATATGCAAATGCAATTGCTTTTGGTGGCCAGCAGAGGTCAATGTAACATTAAATGGTCACCATAGTCCCAGTGTAGGAAAGCTTTAGGCCTCTGTGTATAATTACCACACAGTATCTTCACACTGTGAATCTTAATTTGTGATTATAATATGATTGACAATCATGCAAATGAGGACACATGAAGGTGGAGAGAATAATGTAACACAGGAATGATGCTACAAATTAACCATCTGAAGTCCAGTGTTTTCAAGAAGAAATGATCTAGAATTAAGGACTGCAGAAGTCCAGTCTGCAATGCAGATATTCTCATCTGCAAGATCTGACAGTATATCACCACAGTATGAGAGCACTCATAATGAGTATCTAATACTGCCACAAGGCAAATCAAAAGGAGTTCTCATATATGGGTTTAGTGTCAGCAGCACTAGACATCTCAGTTTATATGGCCATTGGAAGCATCTCATATTTTGATGCTGTTTCCATTCCATAATGATGATACTGAAAGGCAGCTTCTGCTATCGGTACACACCAATCAGCCATAATATTAAAACCACCTGCCTAATAAAATGCAAGTATCCCTCATGCAGCCAAAATAGCTCCGACCCATTAAACCATGAGCTCTACAAGACCTCTGAACGAGTCCTCTGGCATCTAACACCAAGGGTAAACCCCAGTTCCCTTAACTGCATCCATGCTTCACTTGCTTGCATATTTTTGTGTCTTGTTCCTTCCCAAGTAAGATTCAAGAAAAAGATGCAATGAGTTCCAGGTTAGGACCCAGATGCAAGGAACAATCAAATAAGGAACTGGGACTTACCCCAAGATGTTAGCAGTAAATCATTAGTGGATGCTTAAGTCCTGTAGAGGGATTACAGAATAGGGCCACCAGGCACAGGCTCAGGAGTCCAAGAGGTCAAGGGGTCCTATGCCTGAGCTTCTGTATGAGCGACAGTTTATATTTCTTGTTTGAAAATCATAGAACCTTGTTAAAAGGCTACAAATAGACCAAAAATGAAAACAGACTGCAAATGACTACACAGTTGAAAGGTTACCAAAATGCTAAACCATCCCAAAGGGACCCAAAACCACGGAGTGACAAAAGATGAAAATAAAGAGGCATAAATGGACAGCAAAGAGACATGGAAAGGACTGTTGGTTCTGGGGGGCCTTATACATGTCTCTGCCCAGGGACCAATTTTCTCATAACCTGTCCATGCCTGTAAGGGGCTGTGTAATTTCTGGTGTCAGAATCTGTATAGATCCAAAAAAAAAAAAAAAACTAAAGCTGATCTACACTAACAGAGCCTATAGAATTAACGACTTTTGCTTTGTGTAAATCCTCTTAGTATAAAACATGAGCTGAGCTGCACCTCAATATGCCTACATTCAATTTAAGTGCCAGCTGTGCTGAGCTTCATGCCAAGTGGCAAATCAGCCAACAGTGTCAGGCTAAGACCCTGTGCAAGTGCTCAGTGCAATAAAATGCTTCACATTAACTTAACTTCCGACCTTCATTATAAAGTTGCCTAAACTACCAACAGTCTGCGAAACTAACTTTGACAATGGCCCAGTTTGTGCCTCCTATGCATTAACTAGTTATCCACCTATCTGGCAACTTAATGGGTCTCAGTTATTTCAGTACCATTATACTGACAGAGGGAATCCCAAAGCAACAGACAGCTGTGATCTTAACCTGTGTTAGCATGTGGTAGCCGCAAGAACACAGTTCAGCTATGTTTGTGTTAGTAGTTGTGGTGTACACTGAAAGCATCCAGGTTTGTATATTTTAGCACTTTTTAGCCCCGTAGTTAGGTAGGTTACATCGACTAAGAGTAGCGTTTCACAGAAATGTACATAACGCCAAAGGCCAAACGTAGCCAGCGCCAAACCAAAATAATAATAATAATAATAAGTAAATAAATACAAAATAAAAACGAGCTGACAGCACTTACCAAATTATTTGAACACATTAACCAAATGTTCAAATAACCATGTGCGGAAAATAAGCTGTGATTGAGATTGTCTTTCACAAACGATGGTAGCCGGAAGGGACATTTTTTGAATAATTGGCGCATGACAAACGTCCATATGCGCACACTGGAGTGATATTTCTCCTGATGCATCACATTGTTTTTGGTTTTTATATTTACATTTCCAATACAGGCTGTTCTACTAGGCTAGCTCTCATTATAGCACAATACTGAACAGCACCTGGAAATAGCCTACCTGTCAGAAAAAAAATGCTATTTTGCTCATATACAGAGGTGTAGGAGGTTGCTATATGGTCCATTAATGCACCTTTGGAGTCAGGCCTGCACTCTGTCCCCACCACTGCCCTCACAACTTGGCCTCCATGTTTGAATGAGCCAGTTTCACTTGTGTCATTTTGATTTCTGATTGAAAAATACAGTAATGAAGAGGAATACAGATTCCATTCATCATTTATACTGTACACTATGGGATGTTGTCTGTTTAGTCTTGTCTTTATTTTAGGAGATTGTGCAGCTGTTAGATTTCTATACTCAGCTGAGTATTATTTTAGAAAGGGGATGCTGTAACAGGCTCAATAGAGTTTCATCACTTTTTCACTTTTTGCAGTGCTGCAGGCCTCCAGTAACTGCACGCCTGCCATGGTTGTCATGGCAGTCCCTGGTTAAAAACGGCAGTATTGGAGCAAGCTCATTAACAAGCCTGACTTTAGGCATTCTCACTTTAGCAATTCGTTCACTTGAGAAACTGGGTCAGTGGTAACACATTAAAGCTAGAGTTATCCTTTGGCTTCGTCTCACTTAGGAATGCTCACTAGGAAGAAGCCGGAAGGAAGACAATGCTGTTTTTAGACATTCAAAGCCAATTATTTCCTTAGTTTCCTTCCCATAGTGAAATGGTATAGAATAACATGAAAGACAGTAACATACAGTTAAGGTAACTATCTAAAAAAGTTGTAAGCCAGAATGTGGTTTTAAAAAAAGTTTATGTTCTGGGTCAAGAAAGGTTAACTGTGTATAAGC